TTTCCTAAAAGGAAGATCGTCTTAAGAAACAAAATCGAATTGATATTTCAATGAATATTTGGAAACGAATGATACAGAACTCGAACGTTCGCCGCGTGTTTAACGTTCGTTCGTCGTGCTTATCTCGAGATATAGGTGCCACTTAGATGTTACCAGCGACAAGCACTGTTACATGCAATTATCGCCGGTGTACGTTACGAAATCTCGTTACGCCGATTTATAAATGGAAAACGGTGAAGTTGGCAACGTTCTGCGTTGTCTGTCTCTAGACCGTGGATCAACGGAATCTATTCGGAGCGATCAAAATATTGACAAATCGACGGAGATTCGCGCGCCTTCGCGAACAACGAGGATTCGTTCTGCGGATGACACCTACGTAATCAAGGCAGAGGCAGAAGAAGAAAAAAAACACGTTGCATCGTTGGAATGGAAACGGCATGCAACGAACAAAGGCACGCCGGCTAAATCCGGCGATAAAAGCGGCGCATTTTCGAGGCTGGCATTGGCAAGATAAGACGCTGTCGAAGCCAATACGGCTTATAGATTTTCGTTGCATCTTGCCAAACTCTGCAAAAATACGCTCCGCAGGCGCGTCGTCACGTTTCGTCCGCAGGGAACGCCGCGATGAATTTCCTCGGCTAATTTTTCCGTCTGTCCCCTTGAATATAATTCGCCCATCGAGGGTCATTATTGATTCCACCATCGTAATTAATCTTCAGTCTCGACCGACGAGGATATTTCCAGCTCGAAGAATCTAAAATTGAAGCAGGAAACTTGAAAACGAGTTTTACATCGTTGAACAAGACGAAAGGCACTTACGTATCCAAGGTTTCATTATCCTTCGTCATTTTCGTATTATAATGACATGGTTAACCGTCGATCCGAGATTAGTCGAGGTCTTAGATTCATTAGACGCAAAGTTCGCAGATTCACGAGGAAGAAAACAACATCGAGATTTCAAGACCCAATTTCATTTCCGAGATGCACGCGAGACCTCGCGGGAGGGAAATTAGGCGAATAAGACGATACGTTGTGTGCGCCTATATGCGGCTCTATATGGACACACGGACTCGCACCGAGATCTATGTGCATTTCCGGCGGTTTGCCGTTATGTGCATTCATCGCAAGGAATTAGACCGCAACGCAGGTAATATTGGTCCTAGAGACTATGCGTCGTCGCTCAAAGGATCCTCGAAGCGAATTCTCGATTTTTCGCGACGACGGAACGCTGATTACAGTTCAACGATATCGCTGCTCGATTCGTGTCCCGATTACGAAAGGTTTTCGCTTCTCCGCGATAGCAGAATTGATTCCGTAACTTCGTTGCACAACGAAAAGGGTTGGTAGCTCGTACAGGCGAAAACAACGATTTTCAATAAGCAAACGAAACAACGAACGATTGAATCGAGTTCGACAAATCGCTCGTCGAGGTTTCCATCGCGTCCCGCCGCCACTCTTTTTCCCGCGGGAGAGTGACTCTCAATTATTGCGCTTAATTGCAGGTAACACTCGTCATCTGTGAAGCCGCGAGGCCACCGCGGCGCAGCGCGGCGTCCGCGTCAATTGAAACAGCACAAATCGAAATCGATTAAGAGAGTCGTTACGATTTCCCCCGGATCGATCGTTCGCTGAAATTCCCTCGATCATGGCCGCGGGACACGCCGATCTCGTTCGTCGACCGTTAATATTAAATACGAGAGAAAGTTTTCGACGGAGAGAGAGACAAGCTCGCCCCGTTACGTAACGGCCGCTTAAAGAGCCCCGAAGAAGGCGAGATTGTCGACGGACTCTGCCTCCGTCGATCGTGTGCGAAAAGCGAGGAAAAGAGCGAACGAATAAAGAAGAAAAGAAAAGAAGGAACGGCCGGAAAAAAAGAAAAGAATCGGCCCGTCGGTTGAGTACGCTGCCGACACGTTGGGATTTCACGCTTCTCGGAAACCGATTAAGGACGCAACACCTATGCCACGTACGTGCGAACCGCGACGGCCGTTTCTTTGGCCGGCCTGCGCACCGGGACCGTTTATCCTGCTCTACACGCATCGCGGGAGCAGCGATGATTGCAAAATGCGATTCTGCGTCTCGCGTCGGTTCTACGATTAGACGTGATCAAGCGATTCCTCCGAAAGTTCCGGGACAGCGCGATGTCGCGCCGACGCGCGCAGGATTAGAGGACCCGCGGAACGTGACCGCGATGGACACCCTGCCCGTGCATCGGAAAAAAAACCACGGAAAGCGATCGCGAGTTTCTTCCCGCGGCGAGTTTAAGCCGGGAGACTTAAGCTTGTTGTTGAATACAGAATTATTAGCGAGGGAAAACCGGCCTCGTCGGATTAGATCGGATCAAGGCGGTTTTCAAGCACGCGCTGGATCAGACTGTCTTGAATCTTGCCGGTTTTAAGGTTTAACGGGATTTCGCGCGGGTCTTTAGCTCAGCAATTTCGAGCAGGCTTAATGGTCGCGCGATAGACCCGCTAAAGCTCGATAAAATTCTCTTAGCGCCGGGACGATGGATAGCCTACTATTCTCATTATCTGCTGCGAAATTATTCCTGAACTTCGGTATCTTTTACCTAGATAGTTCGTTTCGCGCTGTCTCTTTTTCTCTTTCTCTCTTTCTCTCTTTCTCTGTCTGTCTTTCTTTCTGCCACGTTCCTCTTGTCATCGGCTTCTATCAAGGCAATCTAAAACATTTCTACGCAGCCCCACGTTCGTGTCGGTAATAATAAAACAAAGCTGTTTGCAGTAGAACTTGATCACACGGTCGTATACACCTCTCGCTCCCTCCCTCCCGCCCTCCGATGCTCGCACACATACTCTCTTTCTCGCTCCTCGTCGAAAAAGTGGGACACTGTGAAGATAACACGTTGGCTGAATCGTTTCCATCGTAATCATTACGTAAACGTTTCAGCAATTAGAAACCCATAGTCGGCCACGCATCGTGCAATTAGAAAAACGCCGAAGCGGCTTCCCTTTCCATCGTGGAATTAAACGCGGCACCGTCGTTCGCCGGTTAAAGCGGAACGGAGACCGCCACGCACGTCGGCTTTTTTGAATCGTTTACAAAAGTCACGACTCGCCGCGGACGAGCGGAAGGAAAGAACGACGGACTGAGCGATCGAGTTCGGGGAGCCACGCGACCAGCGAGTCGCACCATTTTTCTGGCCGACCGGCCCGATAAAAAGAAACCTGTTCGCTAGCCCTTTATCGTGAGCCGAATATTGATCTGTGCTTCCCCGTTAATCGGTGAACCGGCCACGTGTCCATTACGCACGGCCTCGCTCGAAAAGGACAATGACTAGCCGCGCAGGACAATTTGGACCTAAGACGGCACAGTCAAGTGCAATAATGCCTTCCAGGTCGAACCCTGAAACTTACGACTTCCAAAGCAGTCCGGTCGTTCCCTGAGCCGCTCACTCTCTATCCGTATTCTGCCGCTGCTAACAAGGTAAACACACGGACGGAACAATCGCCTTCTTATGAAATTTAATTTGAAATGCCCAATGTCCCGCCGTTGTTACGAAACACACGAGTTTAAAACTTAGGGTTTCGCTTGGAAGGCATTACGTACTGCACGAGTATACATCCATTTTCCTGTCGTAGTTCTGGAAAAGTCCAATTGGAGACTCGAAACGCTCGTAACATCAAAGACGTTGGCAAAGATCGTGGAAGATTCCTCGGGAGGATACGGTGACATGCTTCGGACACGTTTGAGAGGAACATCGATAACCTTGAAGATACAAGCCGCCACGTGTTTTTTTACTACTCATCGGAGGGCTGAACGAGGACCAAGCGACTACCTCCGTGATCTATCCGGGATTTCATTGTTTCGAGTCCTGGAAACCTACGCAAAATCGGTTTCAAGATCTTCGCATGACGCTGTCGGTTGTCTCCGGAGAGGGCCTTCCTATCGATGCCTCTGTGATATTATTAGTACTACAGACTTAAAGATAGTGATACCCGATTCGTCGTCGCAGAGGTTGATCCTTCGAGACTCGACACTGTCCTTTTTCCTACGGTTCCATACATTTCAGCGCTATCGAAATAAGCAAGAAACAACGGGGCGATATCCACTGCTGTATTCTAAAAAAGTCAACAACGTGAAAGGTACTGCGCCAGATGCTTTGATACAGGCAAAAATGAGACCCAACGATTGGAAGGAAACAGAAGGCAAGAAAATCAAGACAAAATTACCTTGATCCTGTAACGTGTTAGAAACGAAAGAATTACGAATCATCTTCTCATGGATTGCAAGGTGAGCTTCAACACGTTCGCTACCAGCGCTTGTTTCGATGACGGTCTCTTCAATTCTAATATTTTCCTGAATCCAATAAATCTTCTAAACAAAATATTAGAAAAATGAAACTGAAACGAGTCATTGAGTTCCTAAATACAATGTCGTGGTTTATAATTTCTAATAACAATATCCATAGGATTAATTTCATTTTCATTCTGTAAAATATAGGATTACGGCCGTAACAAGTATGTGACGCTGGTAGCGAGCGTGTTAACCCTCTGTAGGCCCATGTAACTTTGAAGTCATATATCAGTACATTAGCATCTTGTTGATTTATTTCATTTTGCACTGAAAGTGATGAATAAAATTGAGTAATCAGTTAACTGTTATACGCTCAGGCGTAACAGTTTAACGTCATTGTAACTTGAAAATTACAAAATGTATTCGTTTGATGAAATTATTGAAACTATCGAGTACATTGTTAATTCGTATTCATATGTGGGTACTTTGTACCGCATAAATTTTGTTATAATCATGAACCAAAATTCGGTCCATAGAGAGTTAAACATTTCTGTGCATTCTTCCTACTCGTCGCTGCCAATTGTATCTGTACACAGAAGCGAGTAAGTTGAACCGCCCTGGTCCCTTTAATAACCCTTTGCGCTCTCTTTATCGCCCCGCCGGGCTTATCAGTCGACTGGTATCATTAGCTTCGGATATAAAGCGATAACGGGCAACGATAAAACAAAAAAAAGCGAAGCACTAACCTGAGGGATGTTCGCGTTCAGCTGACGGTTCAACGAGTCCCGCTCCTTCTCGGTCTCCTGGAGGCGCGCCTCCGTTTCCTGAAACCGCGCCTGGTTCTCCCGCAACGTCTCCAGCAGCTTGTCCCTCTCGTCGAGCATCGAGACCATCAGCTGCTCGAAGTTCGCATCCTCGCCGGAGAACTGCGAACTCCGCTGGCTGATACTGTCCTCCGCGATCGTCGGCATCACGTCGCACACATTCCACATCTTGCTTGATATTATCCTTGCTCACCCTCTGGATAGAACAACACTGAAACTCCACTTGGGCAGAGCCCGCACGCAACAAAGAACGATTGACAGAAAAAAAAACAAAAACAAAGGATCGTGTGAATCAGAAACTGGCACCGACCACGAATAATCTCTGGGTATTCCTCTCTTCGGATACCTTCTAGTCCGTCTCCGATCTTCTTCAGCAGTCAGTCATTTTTCACGAGGTTTCCTCTCTCGTTCTTTGTCACTTATACTTTTTCCCACTGTTTCTCTGTCTCTTAGTCTCTCGTAATCGCTCACTGTCTCTCTTACTCTCGCACACACTCTTGCTCTCCCTCTCTCTCTCTCTCTCTCACTCTCTCTCGCTCGCTCGCTCTCTACACCACTATCTGTATCTCGCTCTCTCCCTCTTGCTAGTCTTGTCGCGGTTCCTCTCTATCTTCCTTTCTTATCACGTACCGATTCTAACGATCTTCGTTCACCGGGCGGGGGGGAAAAAGATCCTAACCTCTAAGCAGACCTATTCACGATTATCGTTTCTCTGTTAACTAGTACATACCGGCGGTATCATCGCTCGAATTTGTGTCTCGGTTTACGGTCGGATGCATACACGGTTGGCCGGCTACCGGCCAACTCACCGTGATCGGAAATCATGTTTCATTTTCACCACGATACCCAGCATTCTTCCTCCCTTGTTTCCCTGGTAAGCGAGCCTGTACCGTTGTTTACAGCCGGGGATAATCGATGGGTCGCCGTTCCCGGCGGTGCGGTGGTTGCAACGGGTGTAAGTCCTTTTGGAACGAATCGATCGGTGCGGGGTTCGAAAACTTGGGGCCTGGACACACACGCGATCCGATAGATCGATACGGTGGCGGAGCACGGCCGTTCGGGGGCAACTTTTTGACAGATCGTGAGGAACGGGGGGCCTCGCCGGAGAACGCACCGCAACGGAACACGCTTCGATCCCCTTACGCGAGTAGTAGCCGACACGCGAGTCCTTCTTCCCTTTCCATTTCGTCTGTTTTGCGAGAGCCCGAAGCGGCGATGCCGAGTTACTTTCGATCGGGACGGGTCAATGCCGATCCAACGGCCACGGGGTTCTCTCGCGGAACCGGGCTGGCGAGTCTGACAATCGTCGGGAATCGTGGAGCACCGGGTGATCACTGGACAGGCTGCCGTTTACTTTCTGCCTCGGTCTCATTCAGACACAATTCACGCTCGTGTTCAAACGGAACGCGGTCTGCTTCTATCAGCCAAGAACCCGCGACGTACCCGCTAAGAATTCTCTATAATCTCTCTCCCTCTCTCTCTTCCTCTCTCTCGCTCTGTTTTTCCTTGGGTCAGAATGTAGTTGGGTTTCAGACACCGCACACTCCGTTCAATTTCGCCCTCCTCCGGGATATTCGCGATTTAACATCTCACCATCCGAGACTCGGCCGACGGAACAATCCCGATCGTGCGTATGAACACTGCGCGAGCCGCGGGTCAGCCTTCAACGATCGGCATTTCGATGGCATTATCGCGGTGAAGCCGAGCACTGACACACCTACGGTTCGTTCCTACCGCCCAGCCTCTGCGCTACTCTCCATTTCCAATACCGGCGGCCATCTTGCGTCGTGACGTCAGCCTATGTATCCGAAGGTGCGCACCCGACTCCACCCGAGCGCCACACGACTCGAACCGATGGTCCGGTTTGTAATCGAACGGTGGGATCGATCATCCTTTTAGGGCTTGTTCGCATCGGGAGGTTACCTGCAACCGGACGCGGGATATTTAACGCTGAAAATATGATTTATGAAATAAGAATAAAAGTATTAAGATTAAGTAAACGCATAGGCTTTCTCGGAAAGTTCTGGTTAACTGGAAATGTACAAAGAATTGTGTAGTTTTTTTTGGGGATTCTTTTGTGATTATATGAACTACCTTAGGTGTAATATTTTGGCTTTAATTAAATTGAATGCTTTGAAAGAGACGATGAAAATATTGTATGCAAGAATCTGCGCGAATAAAGTATTATAACAGATTGAAAAATATTGTGGTTACTTAATGCAATTGATAAACCCATCTATTCCAATAATCGCGATACAGTTTTCCTTAATTGTTACCTTGGTGGAATCTTAAGCGGAGAATGTAGATTTTCATATGATTTATTTTCTGTATTTTGAATACTCGGATCGTTGGGATATAGAAAAAGATAATTTATGTTCATGTGAAAACGAAATTCAAACGTTCCGCGTGAGATGACCGTTCGCAAAAACGCGAGCGTTTCGACCAAGGTAAAGGAATTATCTGTATCGCTATCATTGAAGTTTCGAAAATGTTTACTGTAAAGAGGATTTCCGTGCGAATTCGTCGCTGGTTATCGTAACGATTTCGATCGGGACAAAAGGGAGGGAAAAAATCGGAGAGGCTTAACTTCCCGGAAGACGGAGACTGCGCTAAAACGTGAGATGCTGGATGATCAATACCGGCCGTTGTGTCAGATTCTGGACCAAGAAGTACACTTGAGAGAGACAGACAGAAACGAGCATCATGAAAACAGTGACCCATACTTGTACACCAGGAGCTGCCGGTAAGTAGTCCAGTTTCAATTCGGTATATCCTTGAATAACATAAAATCTGCATCGGTTAACAAATTCTCGAAATTCTGATTAAAATCGAATCACCTAAACAACTTGTTCTCTTACCTCTAGCGTAAACGATTCTCTTCCTGCCTTTCGGAATCGCTCGAAACAATAAAAAAAAAGTAATAAAAATAATCCTATCTAGCTTTCTATACCTAGAAATCCAAATGAAAAGTGTAATTTTATTTTTATCATTTTAGTTTATAATGGAAGCTCCCTTTAAAACTGATTTTGAAGCGAACCTAACGAAATCGATGCCCAAAAATTCCTCTATTCGCAGAATTATTCTATAATCGTTCGAATTTCAGATCTAGCTGGAAGCGAATCGATCGTGGACATCGCTGAATCGGTGGATGAATTACGTGAGAAACTGGCAAACATGAAGAGGCTGATGGAGGAACGAAAAGGCACCACCCTGGGTGAAATAAGTGCCAAGAAGAGAACGGAGAACTCAGATATCATAGACGGAAACTTTCTGTCCTGGATATTTGGCGCGGCGTTGGTCGTCATTCTCGGCGTCAGTTTTTACACTTTTTATAATCTCTACCACGCGGTCTTAAAGAAATTCCCCTCGCATCATACGGAGCTCTAAGGGGATGGTCTCGATCCCTATCGAAGATACGCGTATACAATTATCTATTCACGGGGCATGTTCGTTCGTTTCGGCAAGAACTTGTGGTGTAGGTAACGCGGAACGTGCAATATCAATCCTTCAGTCGTCCCAAATGCACACCTCCGAACCCACTGAACGATGCACGAGATCATCTGAAAAAATAAGCCTAGAGTGTGTCGCTTAGACAGAGTATTTGACAATTTCTATTTCACTGCAAATTGTCGAGGGAATTCTCGAGCTATCCACCGAAGCGAACGAATCACGAGAGAGTAGGAGATCGAAGGCAAGGATGTTCCTGTCGCGTGTTTCGAGATGTTCAATAAAACTCTTACAGCGTTTCCGTTTCAATAGAAAAGAGTTTCGTTTAAGTTTACCTTCGTATGTATTCTGCTTATCGGAGGGTCATCGTGGTACATGAAAAATAAGTTTCTTAATTCGATGATATGGCTGATCGAAGGAAACTTTCTAGCCAGACTTGACAGAGAGAGTAACATTGTACAGAACTGTTATTGTGCGTATACGTAAAAGTACATAACAATTGCGTCGAAAATGACCCGATATCAGCTGTTAAAATTTCATCACATAACTCATGCTTAAAATGGAACGGTATTAACTCTTTTAAATATAAAGATGTAGAACATTATCGAATAATCTGTTTTAACGGCTTCACTACTGTGCGTACAATGTTTCTCCGAATATCACCAACTTCGATTAACAATATAACAATGTATGTGAGAAAAGATCTTACTCTATCTTATCGTAGTTTCCCTCGGTTCGATATCCTTCCTTCATTATTGTAGATCTTCCACCGCACAATCGAACGCGAAAAATTTTTCATATCAATCGATTTATTCAAATGTAAATATTGTGAATACTAAATAAAGTTACGATTCGATCGATATTATGAGGTACCATGAAACAACCAATAAAATAATCACTTTACCATACGGACGGGAATATAACGAAATTTGTCATTGCAAAGACAAACAACTCAGGCGAGACTTCTTTGATTTATCAGCGCCTGAAGCTGCAAACAATTATACAACCAATCATAAAAAATGGAAATGATAAAAGAAGATAATTCTAGGGAAAAAAGAAAAAGTTTTTCATGTAAAATGTATAAACCTACAGAATAATGTCTTCTTATGTTTTAACTCCTTGGTAAAGTTATTTAGCATTTTTTGATAATCTTCCTGTTGCTGAAATTATATTAATTTCTTTGTAAGATCATTTTCATTTATTCTTTTTTATTTTAGTGAGAGTTAGTACCTTTATTACTTCTGCCTTGAGAGACTCTCTTCGAAGCGACAAAGTCGAAATGTGACTTTGCAATGTTTTAACCTGTCGCGCATACATAAAATAGATGAAGAAGTTACATAGTTGTAAATTACCCGATTTCTAGTAGGAAAAATGCGACTCGTCTAACCTCATTCTCGATTTTTTGAACGTCCTTCTTTAACTCTGACATCAATGATCTATATCGATCCCTATAACTCGACGTTTTATTTTCCAAGTCCGTTAAGACTTTTTCCGCATTCTTTATTTCGCAATGAGATCGCTGCAACTGAACCCACATCGAAGTTCTATTTACACTTTGTATTTAAATAGAAAAATAAATAATATCCTCGAATTTTGATCGCTCACCGCCTGTTCTTTTTCCGTTAGCTTCTCCGATAACATGTTCAATTTATCATCTACGTTTTCGTGCATCTGTAATGATCGATTAAACCGTATCGATAAGTGAAACAATAAATTTGACACAATAATAGACTTTGGTTATTTATACATCTTTATTAGAAAAATAATAATATTTTTTATAACTAACTTCGATCGGATACTCCGGTTGCAAGATTTCGCTTTTGGCAATGATCTACGGCAGACGATTTAAATTAGTTGGATGAGACCACTGCAATTTTAGGACTAACGAATGGACGCTATTACACTTACACATTTTTTCAAATCCTCCAATTGAGTATTATACTTGATTGTATTATTAACAACGGTTATTATTTAATAACAAAAATATGTATATTCGAAGATAGAAAATGTAAAGGCATCCTTACCATGGCCATAAGGAAAATGTTAATGGAGTAAACAACAAATAGAAAGATACATAATATCTTAAAAATATAAATGGTCAGTAAAAACAGCATAACGAAGAATTTTTCTATTTTCTTCTGCACCGACAAAAGTTCAAATTTACTACATACATCATTTTACAAACCTAAAGATCAAAAGAACAACAGACGATCTCTTGAACGCGGTCCCCATTTAGAACGGTTATATTGCGTGGTTCGAGAATCGGAATTACTCGAGGATTTTAAATGCTTCGAGTTATCGATCGATTTCCCGAGGGCGCGTGATATTTGAATGCAACAAGAATAATTAAAGTTACCAGGAACAATAAGAACAAAATTATGCGATTAACTGATATAGATAATGTTTTAATTTTATAAGATCAAATTGCAGATTAAATATTATTTCTTTGAATACCTTTAAATACATTTAACGATTTTCTAAAATTATTTCTAGTTTATTAAATTCTAATCTACGTTACTTTGTTCGAAAAATTGTATGTTAAACGTTATTGATTATAAGAAATATCATTGGACACAAATAAATCTTTTATTGTAAACTCTAGAAATAGAACATATGTTCAAAGAGTCAAGGTATTTTCTAAGTAAGCCTTTGAATGATTAGAAAAATAGGATAACTATTATTCTATGCACAATTTAATGCTAAGATACGCGTGTTCGAAATGCGTTTCTTTACCTTTTTTCAAGAATACAACTTCAACAGTTAACAAAAATCATTTGTGCGATTTAACCTATAAAAATGGAGCGTTCATATCAAATGAACTCAATAAAAATGGGAATTACAGACGATTTAACAATTATACAAATGTCTCATCGACATCAACAATTTTACCCTCGCAATCGCAAGTTGTCATTGCGGGTGCTGGAACAGTTGCCAATTCAGTTGCCTATCATCTTGTTATTAATGGATGGAATGATGTACTCGTTCTGGAACAAGATAGGTATACATATATTGATTTGACAAATAAAATTAATTCTAGCAAATATGTCAATGAATAATGAGTTAAACATTTTCAATATTAACAGTACGAGTACTTAAATCTATAATAATATATACATTATATTAAGACAATAAGGAATTTTTAGTTCGGCAACAAACAGTACTATTAATTGTATTTAAAAATATCCTATTACAAAGAAATTATGAAAGCTCTGTTTCAGGATTGGAAGTGGTACATCTCATTTCGGATCAGGTACCCTTGGTCTGTTTAAACCAATATCGCATCGAAATTTAATTTCCTATAGTATTAAGTTATATCAACAACTGCAAGAAATGGGATATGATATTGGTTTAAAACAATGTGGCAGTGTAAACTTAGCTCAAACCAAAGACAGAATGATAGCTTTAAAACGTAGGATGGCTTATAATGCACCTACAGGATTGCATTGTGAAGTAAGATATGTTTTTTTTATTAATTACATATAATATAAGTAGAGAAACAATTATTAAAGCTTAATAAATTTATTAGGTTCTTCGAAAAGAACAACTGCAGAGATTACATCCATATTTGAATACTGAAGATATCGAAGGTGCAATTTGGGTGCCTGAAGATGCAGTAGCCAATCCCAGTGCAGTTTGCGAAGTTTTAGCTAAACTAGCAAAAACAGGAGGAGCAAAGTACGTTGAGAATTGCAGAATACATGAAGTAAACACTGAAAATGGAGCTGTGAAGAGCGTAAAGACTGAATATGGTGTAGTCTTCTGTGAATACTTTGTTAATTGTGCAGGAATGGTAAGTATGATATTTTATATATCAATTTTTAAATTAATTGTGCATTACTGATAAACAGAACTTATTTATTGCACAGTGGGCACGTGAATTAGGATTACATTGTAACCCACCAGTCAGAATTCCAGCATATCCTGCAGAACATTTTTATGCTATTGCTTCTCCCTTTCCATCTAATTCAAATATATCTTTACCATGTATAAGAGATTATGATTCATACTCGTATGTAAGAGAATGGCGAGGAAGTTTATTAATTGGTTGGTTTGAACCTAAAGCAAATCCTGCATTTGAAAGTGGTACTGTCCCTATACAAAACTGGAAAAATTATCTTAAGAATGATCCTTCTCATTGGAAGCCTTTATGGGATAAGGTTGTACATAGATTACCAATTTTGAGTAAAATGCAACCAAATGTCTATAATTGTCCTGATAATTTCACACCGGATGGAAGATGGATATTAGGAGAAAGTCCAGAAGTAAAGAATTATTACGTCGCTGTAGGCATGAATGGGAATTCACTACAGGGTAAACAGTTATGAATATTTATTTGCAAATGCAATAGATTCTATAATAAAGTTATGAAACATTCATGTAGGAGCAGGAGGAATAGGTAAAGAAGTTGCTGAGTGCCTCATAAACGGTGAATCTACGCAAGAGCTACTTCCATTTAACGTGCAAAGATTTCTGGATTTGCATAGCAATAAACAATATTTACAACAAAGAACAAGGGAAATAGTCGGTAGAAATTATGCGATTCTATACCCACATCAATGCGAGTACAAATATGCGCGGAAACTGCGTTGTTCCCCTTTGTACTCGGTTCTTGAAGAAAGAGGTGCAATTTTTGGGGTAAAAATGGCTTATGAACGACCACTTTACTTTGATTCTACCTATAGAAGTAAGAAGATAATTACGTAATATCTCGTGTCATCTTAGATTACATTTCAAAATCGCGTTAAAAAAGAGAACTATTTAATTACAGGAGGACAAAAGAAATCAGTCATGCCACCAGGTAGTTTCTACAAACCTAAGTTCTTTGATTTTATGAAGGAAGAATTTCTTGCGTGTAAAGAAGGAGTAGGAATTATAGACATGAGTTCATTTTCAAAAATTAAAATCAAAGTAAGTATATGAAAACTGTTGTATCATTTTCTTGTTAACATTCGTTAACAATATTATATACAGTCCAGTCGTTGGGAAGTTGTTGAATACCTTCAGCAATTATGTTCTAACGATGCAAATATACCAGTTGGTGGAATAGTACACACAGGGATGCAGAATGAACGGGGTGGATATGAAAACGATTGTATTCTAGTAAGACAATCAGAAAATAGTTACTTTATGGTTTCACCAACATCGCAACAAACACGCATTTATCAATGGATGTCTAGGTAAAAAAAACTGAAGATATATATATATACATTATTCGTAATTATATCAAATAAATATACGAATCGTTGCTTTTCAATGTAGGCATTTACCAGCAGATCATTCAGTCGGCCTCAATGATGTAACTTCGAAATACACGGTAATCAATTTAGTAGGACCTAAAGCTACAGGTCTACTATCAGAACTTTCCAATTCTAATATTAATCTATCTCCTTTCACATACAAGGTAAAAAACCATTTCGCTAGTTACCAAAAAAATATATAATTCACAATGTAATTTAAAGAACAATTTTTATATTAACAGACTGCAAACGTGGCATATGCCTCAGACGTTATGATAATGTCATTTACTAATACTGGTGAATCTGGTTATTGCTTATACATACCCTCAGAGTATGCACTTCACGTGTATGCAACATTAATGGAAGTAGGTAAAGATTATGGAGTGCGAGATGTGGGTGTACTCACGCAACGTTTTATGCGAATAGAAAGATTTATTCCCTTTTGGGCGGAAGAATTAACACCATTCGTTACTCCGTACGAGGCTGGAAACGGATACAGTGTAAAGTTAGATGTATGTTGTACATGTTTAAATTACTCAGACTTTAATATTTTAAAGTTATGTCATAATTATTTGATATTACAGAAGGAATATTTCATTGGGAAGTTTGCATTACAATATCAAAAAGAGCAAGGTGTAACAAAGCGATTAGTATTATTTGTTGTTAATGAACTGGATATAAATAAAGATGTGTGGCCATGGGGTGGTGAACCTATTTATCGAAACAATGAATTTGTAGGAACTGTGACATCAGCTGGGTAAGCGAAGATAATGAATACTATTATAGTAAAATATATTTTTCATTATTCTGTGAAAACATAAATGAATTAAATTTATAGGTATGGTTTTGCAACCGGAACACATATTTGTCTTGGTTTTATTAGTCTACCAGGACCAAGATATTTGCAATCTAATAAGAATATTGTTACAACAGAGTTTATAATGAATCCCACAGCACGTTACGAAATTGATATCGCTGGTACTAGATTTCCTGTTAAACCTTATATTTACCCATTACCAATACCAGCATTGGGTACTAAATTAAACAAAAAATATACTCCTACTCCTATCGTTGCATATGAGAACGACGTTTGCCGATATTAAAACTAAAGAAGAAACTTTTACTTCTTGAATGAATTGTATATATATATATACTATGAATTATTTAAATATATTTATAACTTTGCAAATTTTCCTAATTGTAATTACGTTCAACTTTATATTCAAGTCCTATTATTTTATATGTAACATTGTATTATACTTTACTTATACATAAATGAATGCCTAAATGTACCTATAAAAATATAAATATTTAAAGTTTGTTGACACTTCTGCTTTATTTGCAGTTACACTAAACTAATATACATTTGAATAGATTTATTCGTAGCAGTCACATTTATACAAAGTGTAGGAAGCCATCTAATAATTTGAACAGAATTTAGAATGTTATATACATTAATATAATACTCAAGTTCAAAAAGCAACAACAGTTTGTAGTTTATCTACTTTTTTATACAGCAACTACATATATATAATTCGTCAACAATTACTGTTGGAAAGATAAATTATGTACTCGTTTGTGTTAGTCAATTCTTTTCACTGTAATTACAAAATATCTTGTCTAGTATGTATTCATGTAAGATATTTGCTTATTATTAATTTTGAAACTTTTTTTATATGTCGATAAAGATATTTTTACTTGCTGCATAGAAAGTAAACTGACTTATCAAAACTTTATTGTTATTTTGATCAATTTTTGAAATGCACACAGAAAAATACTGTAGTATCAAGTCTGAAATAATTAAATGACATAAAATTTAGAGAGTAAAGATTCTTGTAACATTGTTGAGCTCTTTAGCAATATATACTTTGTTTTAACTATTAGTTCCTTACACAGTTTATTTTTACAAGCGTTTTGATACCACCTTACGATGCCCATTGTTCTAGTTCTTTTAAGTCTTCGTCTTCTTCTGGTTTGGTTTCTAAATAATTAATAAAAGTAAGTATGAATTTACATTAATTATAATAGAAATAACATATTACGCAAAAAAGTAGCTGTATTACTTGTGCGAGTTCCAGCTGGTGCAGCTGGAATTGCAGTAGCTGGAACATTTGGAAGTTCATCAGTAGTCTCAATACCAAGCAATTCTTTATCAAGTTGTTCTTGTTCAAGCTCTTCTAATTCCTTTTCTAATTCATCTTCATCTATATCTTGACCAAATGCTACAGGATTAGATATTGCATCTGAAATTTCTTTTGCTACATCTTGTTGTTCAGCTATGTCGTCCATCATATCGTGCACTTGGTCAACATCCCTATAGAATATGTAACACATTATTTTATCTTTCTCATTGTTTGTACCATATATTAACAAAATTATATTATTTCATTCCTTACATGTGTTGGTGAACAGATTTTAATGCATCTGCTGCATTTTTCATTGTAGTTAGAACGGCTGTGTTTGTGTTTGCACTTTCAAGTGCTTCTCTTTGCATTTCAATGGTAGATAACGTACCATCGATTTGCTGTAACTGTTTCTCATATCGTTTCTTTCTTTTAAGAGCTTGTAACGCGGCTGCAACATATAATCAATTTTTAACATCATTTTTATTAGCAACAGTCATAGAGAAGCAGTTTTTTATTTAAATCGACAATGTTGTCATAACACTCTATAATGTTCTATACATTAACAAAGCAGATTTACACATCGAGATTCTTAAGGTTATCCTATACAATAGAGAAACGTCATAATGACAAGTGAACTAGTCATAGGAAATTATCCTTGAACAGTAGTAATTAAACGAAAAAATAGTGTTGTCAGATACCTCTCTTATTTTTCGTTCCATTTTTCCTGGCAATTTGAATTTCAAGGTCTATTTTAGTTTCAAGAAAATCTTGCTTTTTTATTAACATATCCTCCGTCTCGCGTAACTTTTGTATTGCCTCGGCCGTCGACTGAGGGGCCGGCTCCTTCTTTCCACCGAATACTTTGCTAAAGAAACTCATTGTCCCAGCGAATTGTACATCAAATTCCTATTATAACCGCACTCATAAACACAATGAACACTATTCACCTCGGACAGAATCAACAGAAGATTGTACACCAACCACGTACTATCGCCATATTCTTTTTGACATCGACAGTATGCGTCATGACTCATCGCCAAATTACTTTGAAACTTTTGAATTCCACTGATTTATTTGAAATTGTAATGTCTGAAATTTTCTAGAAACACAATACAAAATAAATTATAAAATCGAAAATAACTGATCAATATTTTCTACTATAAAAAAACATTACCTCTTTTCAGAATTGTATATTCAGTTTCACTTTTTTTTCTTATATGATTGATAAAAATTGTATTTGTATTGTTCATCATGTATACATTTATATTTTTAATACATGAACGTATCTATAGCGTATTATATTTTAGGAGCTAAAGATGTAATTTGAAGAAAGAAAATTGCCACTAAAAATTTAAATTATTACCTTGAAAAATTATATATAATAAACATTCTGTTAAAAGTCTCTTATCTTTCTGATACTTCTTCGTGCTCTCTTTTATTGTTATTTTAAAAAAATATTATTATCTGTAAGTACATTAAAGATATGTACCTACATATATATTTCCTATACATCGATTGTACGAACCAAGTAAAATATACTGTCTATGTATTCGTATGACTGACTCGATTCGTATATAAACAAGGATTTCAACTTGGCAGATACTTGTGATGTAATTGATGCGTCATAATCAGAATTGTACTTCTACAAATATAAATATTTTATACAATTCTGTCGTTTCACAATTGTGTTCAGGTCGATTTGCAAATAAATCGTAAATAACCTCTGTCGATGGAGAGGAATCTTGGAAATGTAAGTATATATTATAGATACTATTATTTAATTTGTAAATGTTAAAATCCCCTATTGCTTTACAAAAGTTTCTTTCAGTCTCACGATATAAGAAACTATATTTAGTGTGTGTAACATTTCGTAAGAACATTTAAAAATAAATATGTACGGTCGGCAATACTGCTTTCTTTCCCGGGTTCTTTTTAAGTTCACTTTAGCTACGCACGATGCGAAGTACATGGAGAGATAGGGACCGGGTAATATTTCAATTTTGTTTAAATATTTGCAAAATATATGTCCACGGATCAATATTCATATCAAAATATAAAATATCATCATGTTATTTAATAAAATTGTTATTGCCAGGACTTTCAGAAGAAGTTACCTGGTGGTGAAACCACCCAACATTTATTACTAGAAACTTTGCATAAAACACAAACTGAAAATAATCCAATACCAGGATTTGATCCTAATAAAGATGATACTCAATATTACCGTATCCAACAAACTATTGATTGCGATGAAGTATATCCAGGGATATATATTGGCGATACGTAAGTACTTAGTTTATGTTACCTCTGTCATATATAAGTACTTTATCAGAAGATAAATTACATTTAATATTTTATAGTGCTACGGCAAAAAATAAAAAGTATCTTCAGATGTTGGGTATAACACATTTACTTAATTGTGCAGAAGGAAAAAGATTTGGTTTTGTAAATACTGATGCTAATTATTATAAAGATACAACAATAAAATATGTTGGTTTACCACTTGCCGACTTGTGCAGTACAGATATTAGCAAATACTTTTATACTGCTGCAGATTTTATTGATGAAGCTGTTTCTGCAGATGGTAATTATAATACATTATTATAATGTATATATAGTAAAAAAATACATCCTTTAATATTGTAAATTTCTCCACAGGTAAAGCTTTCGTACACTGTGTGTTAGGAAGGTCTCGCAGTGCAACTTGTGTATTGGCATATCTAATGATAAAAAAAGGAATGTTGGCTGTTGATGCCGTTAGAACAGTCCATTCAAGACGTTTTATAAGACCAAACGACGGTTTTCTTCATCAGTTAGCACAATTGGACAATCAATTAAGAAGACAACATTTATAATTAAATACAATACTGATACAGTCATTAAAAATCTTCCAGGAGTTTATAACAATACTTTAACTTACATTTAGGAGCACACATGTAAGTGCAATTTTATATTTTCATGCATTGTGTATAAATATTTGGTATAAAAGTTTTAATTCTCACGATACATTAATATTACTCTTTATGTGTACATTTTACTATTTAATACTTTATGCCATTAATAGTACATGCCACCGAATAGAAAATTTTGTTAATAGATTAAAAACATAGCTACTTATTTTTCCATGCAAATGCTACACTTTAAATTAACTATAGTGTATGAATATAATTTATATTTATTATTTACAAATTACGGAAGAATTTATTCTACAAACATATGGTTTAAAAGTTATGTAAAATACATATAAAAACATCGCGAATGTACACATTTTGTAAAATTCTATTTGCATAGTCATGATTCAATTTTGCTACCAAAGTATTATGCATGAAGTATTATATAACTTTTTATATATCATTGTTTTAATTCATACACTGTATTATTAAATAAATTATTAAATCGATACCAGTAATACACAAAACTTTCAGTTTTATAGCAGTTCAAATTATTCCTACATTCATTAATTAACTACTCGCGGCCTTTTAGAATGTGTTTCCACAAGTGTAGATGAATGATTTGGCGTGCCTATTTCGTGTATATCTATGTCTGCTGGACCACTACGTTTGCGCGCTTTTGGAGATAATTGTTTCAAACATTCCATGTCATTAAATACAACTTGCGCACCACCTCCACTAGTTGGCAATATATCTCCCTAACGTAACAATATTTTCATACATTATTCATATTATTCTTTTAAGTAATTCACAAATAAATTACCTTATACAATTTTGTTTCAAGTTCGCCATCCGTATCATGTTCTTGTGCAACGAGACAATATCTCGACGCCCCATCTGTAATCTCCTTTGGATCTGTGAGTCGTGTAACGCTGCGTCTTCTACGCATTAATGGTTGTAAAACTGTCCCTAAAGGAACGAGTGCTCCTGGTCTGTGATCAATCCATCTGTCAGCGCTTTGTGAACGTCTGTGCCTTGGATTTGAAACGGTTGCCTTGTCCTATAAACAAAACTGTTTTAAATGAAATTAAAAAAAAATAAACATAAGTAAAGAAAGCTGACCCTTCGTGATCGACCATCTGTTCCTTTTGTAACTGTTTCAGAATTATTAGTCGTAACTTTCGGAGTAATAGGTACAGAAATGATACCATTATCATCCACTAAAATTTGCTTTACCAATCTCAATTTATTATCCTTTTCCTTCATTTGATTCTGGAAAAATAGGAAATAATACACAAAAAATTCTTAATTATTTTAAATATGTTTTACAAGTGTATCTCAATTTATTACCTGTAATTGTTCACGCTGTTGACGTAATTTTATTTCTAATTCTCTATTCATTTTGTCAGTTTCCACTTGTATTTTAGTATTATATTTTTGTTTTACTCTCTGTTTATCTATTAACCGTTGATTTAACGCCATATCTCTGTCTTTTAACTGTAAAATAATTATATTAAATTTAAGATTAAAATGAACACAATTGTATATTCATTACCTACCTCTTGTTGTAAACCACGGATTGTATCATTCGCGTGATTTAATTTGCGAAGCAAACTATCGATTTGTTCCTCACTTTTACATAGATGACCTTCTAATGCAGACACCTTCTTTTTTTGTTGTGAATTAATTGCTTTTAGAGATGCATTTTCAACTTTTAAATTCATATGCTCTTGTTCCATTGACATTAAGGTTTTCCTAAGATCATTTTCTGTAAATACACTAATTAAGATATTGAATGATACTTAAATCATATTAAAAATGAGTTCTTACGTTTTTGTTGTAAATCAGCACGTAGTAGATTCCGTTTATTTATACGCTGTTCCAAAAAGTGCATTAAGTTAGTAATTATTTGATCATTGCATGGAGAGGTAACTTCCAGTTCCGGGAATGGACCACCCAAACTGTAAAACATATTTAAAGTTACTAATCAGAAAAATAAAAACAAAATGGCTTAGGAAGCAAACACAGACCTGTATACCAGTCCTATGTCAACTTCTAAATCAGCAGCTTCGGGACGACCTTCCTTTTCTAGTTTACTACGCGCTTCCTTAAACAACTATTAAACAATTTCTCTTATAAGTAAATTTTTAAACTTATTTCTTTGTATTTTTTCCTGACCCATACTTTACCTTGTTTGCCTGTCTTCTTCCAGGTGTAAAACCGAGATCTAATTTAGTAACCATTGGTCTAGCTACTTGGACTTCTTGTGTCATTTCCGCGAATTTCATAACTTGCTATAAACACATTAACATAAAAATGAACTTATCATTGCACATTTATACTTTCATATAATTGATTTTTTACATACAATTGTCTCATCAAAATCGTTTGCTCTTGGGTTAACACAGACGATCATTCTCACTTGTCCCTCTCCATCAAAGTAATTCTTAAATAAGTGAGTAAGCTTTGAATCTCTGTAGGGTACCATTTTATTTGTACCTTGAGTTTGATTCTCTCTCAAAATTTCCAAACATGATCGAAGAGTCATCAATGAATTATTAATATTACCTGAAAGAATAAAAGATAAATAGCTTTTTTGAAGAAATATGTTAGAAGACAATTTTAATAGTCATAATTAGAAGATAAAAACCCGCTTCTCTTAATCGTTGTCCTGTATTTTTGGTCCTATTTGTTCTCTCACTGCCAGCCAAATCTACCAAGGACAATTGTGTAATACATATTACACGTTTATCTTGTATGACTTGCTCACCCTCGCAATCTAAGGGTGCCTGTGAAAAGATACCAGTATCTTATGTATAAATACTAATTACACGGAGAATTAAAGAATTAAGGATCTTACTTGTACAAGACGAATGGTAAAAACACTGTGTGATCTGCTAGATTCTGCATTAAGAGCAGTATGTGCTACTCTTCTTCTTCGCTGGCCACGGTTAAATATCTCAAATGCTTCTTCTGAACTTTTTACTTCAATTTCTGTTACAGCATGTACATACATATTTTTGTTCCCATCTTCTCTGACTATTTTACTCTGTAATGTCCTGCAAATTGTTATAAAATATTATATTTTTTCTGAACATATTTAGAAAAACTCAGTTTGTAAACATACTTAGTTCTAATGTCTTCATCCTCTAATAAATCATATACACTGTTATTATATATTTCAACATATGTAACAAACACTGCATATGCATTGTCTTGATCCACTGCTACTACTTGCGATTCATCAACATCACGAGTTATCATTGGATTACTATCTCCATCACTTTCTGCTTTTCTTCTAATGGAAAATAGTAAAACTATTTATCAGTAGAGTTATTTTTATTGATTTTATCTTTCATTTCATACTTTTGCTATACTTACGGTTTGCCTGATTTTCCATTTCTATGAGATGTGAGTCCTGCATGAAGTTCAGTTTGTCTATCAAGCATTGCATCAGCTTCACTTTGTATATCGAAGCCATTTAATTTATCTGGTTTAAAAACAAACTTTTTTGTTTGATAATTAGCAATACTATTAAAGATGACATCAAGACAACGGGGCATAATACCAGCATCTTGTGGTTCACCGGTCATTGTATATGTTTTTCCACTTCCTGTTACACCATAAGTGAACAAAAGACTATTTCTACCACGAATAACATTTTCGACTAATGGAAGAGCAACTACATTAAAGATTTTCTTTTGTGTGGTATCTGGTGTGAATACACAACTGAATGTTGTTTGAATTTCTTTATTGCTAGTATTACGAAAATTTACTGCCGATTCCGGTGGAGTAATAGCTATAGTTGTATCCGATAGAACTTTCATACATGACACATCTATGGGATGTTGCATTGGCCTTAACCGACAATAAACCTGCACTGGATCTTTAGACAACATATTGTTACCCTTTGGACGACCTATTGGTTTACGAGCTGAACCAGGTGGTTTTACACGTCTAAAACAATTGGTATATTAACATTTATCCGTACTATACACAAAATGAAATTTTGTAAGAATATATTAATATTAACCACATCCATTACAATCTTTTCTTGTAGTTCGTGTATTAAACCTTTAACTTACGTGGATTTCATTTTAGTACAGTAATATTTACAACTTAGTGTCAATTATCACAAGAATAATATTGTGTTTCCTTTCCCTTGATAGATACCGCAAGCCGCAAACGGTTGTCACAACATTCGAAATTCAAATCTAGATACAAAATGGAATGACGCTAGTAAAGCTATTACCAATACTCAGGCACGAAAAGTTTTTAGATTTTAAGGTACTAGCCAACAAGCAATATGATTGGTTCATATTATGCGCGCAAAATTTGAATGTATTTAAAACAATATCACACCTATCATACATTGGGAATGATAAAGGATATATTTTTGGTTACCGTAATTACAAAAAAATTTATGTAACGAAGTAATAAATAAACTGCATTGCTTTTCTCAGTAGAGAAATTTATTTTTTATATTTGTACAAAGATATGATGTTTAAGGTTACTTTTTAACCTTCTTGTCCTTAGCAACCTTTGTGACATCATCAGGGTTTTCTGCTGCTTCTTTCACACGTTTTGCACGAAGTCCAACTAATCTAGCATCAGCCCTAGCTTTACGTAATGTTACATAGGCAGAGAATTTCTTCTCTTCTTCAGAAATGGTACGAGCCTTAGCCTTGGCTGGTGCTTGATGTCTTATTGGCATAACTTCTCCTTTAACTTGAGTTGCCGCTTTCATCTCCTTCTCAGTTGCATCACCCTTCTTGGGCTAATGATAAATAATATGTAATATTATTGTTAATTTGTTCTGCTGGGTAAACAATACATTCATAGATAGAATTACTTACCTTCTTTTCATTCAATGGGAAGAGAATCAATTTGGATTTATATTCCTTCAATCTTTGAGCATTCGTTTGCAAAGATTCGACCGATTTGTTTCTTCTTCTGGGATCCACTGCAATTCCAATGGTCCTAGCAAAGCGTTTATTCAAACCACTGGCATTAATTTCAGCCAAAGTAAAACCTTTGCCAGCCCTAACTTTTGTGTGATAACGGAATGTTGGGCAATGAACAACAGGCCTTAAAAGCTTGACAGGTCTACACAGATAATTGAAAATTAATAATACATAAATAAAGGGATCAAAAATATTATACAGCCAATTTACAAAAAAAAAATGTAAGAATTAATCACCTTGGCGCAACTGCACGAGCTTTCTTCACACGACTTTGTTTACGACGGTATTTCCTAGCTGGCTGATTGAACCAGGTTTTCACAAATCTTTGCCAGTCCTTGTGAAAGTGCCCATTAGGGATCATATTATTTCTTTTACCCATGGTTGAACTAAAACATATATAAACTTTGTAGAATTTACACGTAAAATTTCATGTATTATCTATATTATTTACTCAATTAGTTGAAATTAACTTTAAAAAATTTGTAAAAATACTACAATAGGTTAGAAATATGTATTCGTGAATCTGGACTGTAAACATATCACACAATTTCCTTTATCACAAAATATATCACATCTTTCATATAATTTTATACTAATATAATTGTTCCATATTTCATTTTAGAAATAAAATAACCAATTTTGTTATTTTTGGTAAAAAACATACTGGAACTTAACCTTTTAATTAACGTCAAAAATTTACTATATGTAATCAACTATATTATAACAAATATATTGTTTAATCACAGTAAAGAACACAAATTAGAATAATTTTATCACGATTACGTAAAGTATTAATTTGAGATGTGAAATATTTAACTGGATTTTAATCTCGAAATTTTACTCACGAAGTTGTTTATACGGTACACACCGGAAAAGGAATCAGTTGCCAAAACGGAAGTAGCATCTTTTTTAAGATACTGAAGTAAAGTTATCGAAATAAACTATTATTTTCATCCATGCTTAAATTACTTTATAAGAATATTTATTATAAAATAAAAAATCATTATAAAGATTTTTTAAACAGAAGTTTCCATAAATAGACTATATTCCATTTAAAGTAGTAATTCAGTATGGCAGCCATCGTAATAGAATCAGTATATCTCATGCAAGAAATTTAAAAGAAATTAGTGTAAATAATTATGTATTAAAATTTAACAATGATATTTGTAAATTCATTTCACCAAAACTTAGTATCATATTTTAAGAATTATGCACATTATAAATATTTTATTACCCGATGCTCTTCAACCGGCGTAAATTTATTTTCGGTATAAAGTTTATTTTGTAAACAAATATTGTAACAAATAAAATTTATTTGTAATATACAATATTGTAACAAATAAAATTTATTTGTAATATACAATATTATTATTTTTCATACGCGTATAAATATTACTGAAATGTAAAATTTGTTTAGGAAAGCTATCCTACGACTGAAGTAAAGAAACAAATAGAGACGTATTGGAGGGATAAAATTAATTTGGTCAAATATGATGAAACAGATAATGAAAAACAAAAATTTTATGTTTTATCAATGTTTCCTTATCCTTCTGGAATATTACATATGGGTCATGTAAGAGTTTATACAATAAGTGACTCGGTTGCTAGGTTTTACAGAATGAAAGGTAAATTTCTTACATTAGAACATATTCATTAGATATTATTTAATCGATTGAACTTATAATTCATCTTAGGATATAATGTCCTTCATCCAATGGGCTGGGACGCATTTGGTTTACCTGCTGAGAATGCAGCATATGAAAAACAAATAAATCCTGCTGAATGGACAAAAAATAATATTACTAAAATGCGAAATCAATTAAATTTATTAAATTATGGATTCGATTGGGATAGAGAGTTTGCAACATGTGATTCAGAATATTATAAATGGACTCAGGTGTTATTCTTGAAATTATTTGAGAAAGGTTTAGTTTATCAGAAAGAAGCATTTGTTAATTGGGATCCTGTTGATCAAACTGTATTGGCAGAAGAACAAGTCGATGAAAATAATTGTTCTTGGAGATCAGGGTCTAAAGTGGAGAAAAGATTGTTGAACCAATGGTTTATTAAAACCGTTCCATTTGCTGAGTTAGAACATAAATATATGATTTCTATAATATATTATTATAATCGATAGGATAATATTTAATGACATATTTTTGCTTTAGGTCATTGTTAAAAGGCTTAAATGATCCAACATTAAAAGAATGGAAAGATGTTATAAGCATGCAACGGCATTGGATTGGTGAATGCAATGGCATTAGTTTTGACTTTCAATTAATATCAAATATTCGAAATTATCCAAAGACAATAAATGTTTGGACGAACTATCCAGAATTTATTGAATATGCAACATTTATTGCTATATCTCCAAAGAGTTCGTTAAACATGTTTGAATATTGTTCAGATGAGAATAATGGAATTAAATTGATAGATGTTAAAGTACTGAATCCATTTAATGGAAAGGAGTTACCAGTATTTGTAACAGATAAAGTTGAATTTCAACAATTTAGAGATACTTATCTTGGAATACCTTCTATTTCAATGGAGGATTATAAGTTTTCCGAAATAGTTGGAATTCCTTTTCAACGACATTCAATAAGAGCTGAAGAACAGTTACAGAAAAAATTAGAAATAATATCCAAAGCTAAAGAATGGAAAATTGGTGGATATCCAGTTGGTCCAAGACTTCAAGATTGGTTAATATCTAGACAAAGATATTGGGGTACTCCAATTCCAGTTGTTCATTGTTCAAGTTGTGGTGTTCAACCAGTACCGCACGATCAACTTCCTGTTGTTTTACCAAAAATAACATTTTCATTTTCAAATAAAATGCCTACTTTATCGAATGCTGAAGATTGGTTAAACACTTCTTGCCCCAAATGTGGAGGACAAGCAACTAGAGAATCAGATACAATGGACACTTTTGTAGATAGCTCATGGTATTTTTTAAGGTATATAGATCCAAGAAATACAAAAGAAATGTTTTCAGTTGATAAAGTAAAAAAAATATTTCCTGTTGATTTATATGTGGGTGGTAAAGAACATGGTAAGTAGATTAATTTGATTTCTAATATTTCAAAGTTTTACAGCATAAATATTATTATTTCAGCTGTATTGCATTTATATTATGCCAGATTTATAAGTCACTTCTTGCATTCAGAAGGATTAATACCCAGTTCAGAACCATTTAAACAATTACTTGTTCAGGGTATGGTGATGGGTAAGACTTTTAAGCAGAAGGATACAAACAAATATTTAATGGCAGATGAAGTAGAAAAAAAAGATGAACAATGGATAGAAAAAAGTACTAATCAACCTGTAATTGTTTCTTGGGAGAAAATGTCTAAATCAAAGCATAATGGCGTTGATCCCCTTGAATTATTAGATAAACATGGGATTGATACAACCAGATTGTTAATATTAGCTGATGTAGCACCCACTTCAAATAGAAACTGGAGTGAACAGAGTAAGATGATATATTATGTATATTATTATATCAAGATTTTATATTAATATTACTTAATTCTAGCTATTCCTGGAATACTTAATTGGCAAAGTCGAATGTGGAAAATCGTGCAAAGGTTTACAAGTTATCGCAATAGTATAAGTTTAGAAGAACTTCAAGTAAAACCTACTGATCCTAAGTATGAAACTGATGATGCATACATGTTTGACAGTCGGAATTTTTTCATAAAAGGCGTAACACATAACATAACTGCATCTCAACATTTGAGTGTTGCAATATCAAGAATGCAAGGGCTTACCAATAGGTATTTATTGCAAAATTATTTCTAAGAGGTAATGACTATGATGAGTGTACCGTTCTTTACTTATTTTTATTTCCAATTTTAAGTCTCAATAAGGTATGTTTACAATGTTCACAAAAAAGTCGTGAGTTTGAACGTGCATTAGTAGTTCAAATCATAATGCTTGCAATAGTAGCACCACACTTTGCTTCGGAATTATGGGCAGCATTTTGTTCAGTAAAACATCATCTTATAAATAAAGATGAAGTAAGATTGGATAAGGACGTAATGGAACAAAGTTGGCCAGAAATCGATATGGACTACAATATGAATTTAATTTCTACTGTATGTTCAGCTGCATGTATTTATTGTACTAATTATTTTAAGAATATCGCTACAATACTTCCATTATATACATCCTACTTATAAGACAGGATTAATTTTATACAAATGCATTATTAATACTATTTACTCTTTTATACCTAGGTAAATGACAAACCGTTAAAAAACTTCAAAATACCCAAACATAAACTAGATAAAATGTCTGTTGAAGATGCCTTGAACATATTAACAAATGATCCAGATGTTATACGCCGTTTGAAGAATAAACCAATTGTTCAAACTAAATTTCTTTCAAAGGTAGGCTATGACACAAGAATAAATATTGTTTTAGGTAAAGTAGACTGTACCAATAAAGAAGTACTTGAAAATAAGTGACAAAATAAGTAAGAATACAAATAAAGAAAAATATTAATTATACTTTACCCAATATTATATTCTCCAGAATATCCATTATGTGGTATAGTTTCTAGGAGTTTTATATATTGAGATGGTAACTGATTTTCTTTTGCACCTGTTAATATTGTTTTTCTACATTGTAACAAAAATAATATATTAATTGTAAATATGTAACTTTTATATTTTGTGCAAATATAACATACATATATAATGGAGAAGGCCTTCTATGATTTGGTAACAATCGGAGTTTCACATGTTCATCTGGATCATTACATTGTTGGTATACTCTACATTTTAAGACTTGACCATTAGGTGTTTCAATATCAACCATAAGTGGAAAATATAATTTATCGGCAACACCTTCTTGACAATCTAATGTAGCCATGTTGCATTCATGTAACTCCCAAACTATACCCCATACATTGTAATCTTCCGTTGGAACAATTGTTGCAGAGCATCCACCCCATCTCTTTGAATGTGTTAAAAAGTCGAGTCTGAAATTCTGATATAATTCAGTATTTGCACAGAATGAGTTTGGTAATTATTATAAAAAGTATACACATAAAATAATATAAATTTTTCCAATATTCTTAATTATGAAATATTCATGCGGTATCGATTAATTAAGAATTATAATTATGTATTTAATATGTGTATGTATATGTATTCTGTGTACCTTTAAAAGACCAATCCCTTTAAGTTGTGCAGTTGGATTATTAATATGTATTCTTTTCATTAACATATTGCTTCCGTATGCAAAATATAAAAATTGTTTAGACATTTTAATGGCCGATTTTGATGCTTACAATCTCTTCAGGTGTACTTACTGTAATGATCCACGTAAGCTAATAAATAGGTTAAGGTTTCTTGCCGATATATAACATATACAGAAGATATGACTTATAATCTTATGAGTACAAATATTATATAGATCCCTTAAATGGTTTTATTTTATGACGTAATATAAAAATTACACAAAAAAACCAAATTTCAGAAAGGTTAAAAGTGTAAATAAGGTTATGGTATAATGAAATAATATTACGAAGCTTTCAGTTTTTATTGGTTAATTTTTCAATTCATTAGTTTTTTATTTTATTTTGTAAAAATCTATGGATTATAAATATAGAAACAATACTTTATTAATCTCAAATATATATAAATATTTAAAGTCTATTTATTTATAATTTAATTAGATTAATCAAACTTATAGTTTGCATATACTTCATGGAACATGTCACGACAATTTATTTTAACTTTAAGTTTGGCACATAGCAAAAAGATTCCTGATAATTTCCTATGCAGACTGTATATTTCTTCAGGTGGAGGGCAGAGTCTATTATCTAAGATTGTTGGAACTAGTGATTGCATTCTGCAATAAATTAATATTATTATTTTAAATATTTCTTATTGAAGAAACAAAATTGAAAATATATGTTAATAGTTCCTACCGTTTAGTCACATCTTGTCCCCCAAAATCATAATATTTATTATTTTTATCAAATATTTGTCCTAGAACCATTACTGCATCAACATGAGCTTCTTCCATTATCTGAAAGGAGTGTAACACAAGATTTATGAAACCTGACTAAATATAATTTAATGAATAGAAAATTAATAGAATTTGGAAATTTTTACTTTAGATTCATATCCAGTAAGGAATCCCATGTCTCTGGATAAATTTAAAACTGTCATACGATCATTTTCGCTTGCAGCATAAATTACTTTAATATATTTGTCCATAAATGATTTTTCATATTCTCTACAAGCTCCAAAATCCAATAATACTAACTGAAAATTACATGAAAAGTATGATTTATATGGATGACCATAAAATATTGTATTACATACCTGTTTTGTATTATTGTTGTAGAAAAAATTTGACCAATTTGGATCTGTTTGCATATATCGAAAAACAAATAATTCCTTCAGACATAAGTGCATTATCAATTTACATATATGTTCTCTTGTTTTCATATCTAAACTTACACATTTATCTACGGGAATACCTTCCACCATTTCAGTTGTAAAAATTTGACTTGTTGATAATTCATCTGAATATTAAAATGGCCAATTATTTTATATCAGACAAAATTAATCTTATGAATTCATACCTACTACAGCTGGAACACAATAATCCTTATAAGGTTCCATGAGCTTTTTGTACTTTCTTGTGCATTCTGCTTCGCGTACATAATCGACTTCCCATGCAAGTTCTCGTTTAGCAACTTCCACTAAATTATCAATGAACATGCCTTTTGGAAAGATATTCCAGACCTAAAAGAATTTCTTATTTTACGATCATCTTGATGAAAAATAAAATAAAACGTTTTATGCGCAATGATACCTTCATTATGCCTACTAAGTTCTCTACATCACTCTGAATTCCCATAGCTACACCAGGATACTGAATTTTAATTGCTACATCTTGACCATTTAATAAAGTACCATGATGTACTTGGCCTGTAATTATTTACTAGTATTAATAACTGTTTTTGGAACAACACTTTTATATTACTCTTCTATTAATAAAGATATTGCACCGATAGATGCTGCAGCAAATGGTTTCTCTTCGAAGGTAGCTAATTTCTTTTTCCAATCATGCCCGAATTCACTAGCTAACACTTTCTGAAAATAAGTTTACGAAATGAATTTATTCATAAATAGATGACTGAAATGATTTAATTACCTCAACTTGCCATGTTGGCATAAAATCAGCGCTCTGTCTAACTCTTTCAAAAATTTTTTGTAATTCAGGATTTATAACAGTTTCATCTTGAATACTTAAAATCTGTCCCAATTTTAAAGCAGCACCTGTTATAAATACTCATAATAAATAAACTCGTCGATTATGAGAGAATATAATAATTATATTTTTAATATTTACCTCTTACTTTACACAAAGTTGAAACTATTCTTTCAGCATTTGGTTTTGTAAGAAACATATTATCGAATGTTTCTCCTAAACTTTGTTGTTTTAATCCTAATGTTCTACGCGTATATTCTGCAACTGTACCGATGCCAAGACCAATTCCTAATGTACCAAAGCTTACCATTCTCTGTAATCTAGTAGCTGGAACTTTTTGAGCTTTTGCATTAGGAGCAAGCTTTAAAATTAAGATTGTTCTATTACAACAAAACTTGCAAAAGTTGTGTAAAAAGAAAAGAGTTACTTACAGTTTGTTTTGGTTTAACGGATGGTCTAACTTTAGGTATTTCTTGAGCTGCATTTGCAAACCCCTGCTTTTTATTGCCTATGAATACTTGATCATCATCTTTTTGAACATTGTTTTTCTTTGCACCTTGATGCGTTATATTTTGTTCATGTTCTAATTCCAATTTTCTTAGTAATTCTTTATCTTTGTCTGAAAGCTCAATTTTAGGTATTTCATTCTCTAAGTTGGATATTGTTTCAATTTTTTCTTTTACTGTTGTATATTTTTTTATTGTAGATTTATCACGTTTCTCTTGTATATCATCCATACATTCAGATTTGATATTCTGCTGTACATTAGGAACATCAGATTTAATTGGTACTTCCTTAGGATCTTTTGCAATATTATAAACATATAATTTAGCATTTTTGGATGCTGTAGAATTATAATGATCAGATGGAATATCATTAGTTTTTATTTTAATAAATTCCATTATGCCTTTCTCAACAACATTTAATCGTTCAGCCATTTCTTTCACTTCTCTTACTGCTTGACTCTGTAAAGTAATAATAAAATAAAATAAATATGATAAAGAATATTCAACTTTACATTTATAAAATTATAATGCAGATCATACATAAATTATTGCAATGAAAGCCACATTTCAAGTTAAATGCAAATAACAGAAACTTACAGGAACCTTACTTGGTTCTATATTGTTTAATTTTTTCATACAATCTGTTGTACATTTTTCTGCCACAACTTTTAAGCTTGATGTCCGTATTGAATGTTTCAGTGTATCTTCTTGATGCTTTATGATGGCATTAGTTACTACCTTAACTCCTTTTAATACACCGATGAGATCAGACATCCAAGGTTGAGCCATCTCGATGATTCAATTTAACTGTGTAGTAATTATTCAAAAATGAATTATGACAACTTTTGAAATTTTCATTTATGAAATATTATTATTATCTTCTTAAAGTTATCTCCTACTTTCCAGTTTCTTTATCAATAATTTATAATGCTATTTGTGTCAAACTACTTATAAGGAGTATTACAAACTACGTATTTAAATACGAATGACTGTATTTACATATGAATAAAGAGCGTCTAAAATAAATGCAGACCTTGAAAATGATAAATAAGGTTAGAATGAAATAGAACAATGTGTTTCATCGTTTCAATAGATTCATATTCTAGTTTAATATATAGCTAGGCAGAATAATAAATTGTTCTAACGATGTCTTATTGATTATTCAATATAAAGTTTGTAATCACCGATATATTTCAAAAACACATGTCGTCAACCAACCTGTATGTCATAAGTGTATAATGTAATCTCACGTGTACTTTCATCGTATTTGTATTATATGATCTTGTTACTTTTAAAATATTAATAATTATAAAATACTCATGGCATCAGAAAATGATAAAGATTCAATAATTTTTTTCTAAATTGTTTATATTTTATGGCATTGCATTTAGGAATTATTACTAATGATTCACCACTATTTAAGAAATTACAGGAACTCCACAATTTAAGAACACCTTTAGTTAATATATTATTTATATAATACATATGTA